CCTTTCAGATTTGGACCATCTCAACCTTTAACACCCTTAAACAAGGAAAGTTTTTCAAATGTAGACAATGATAAAAATAAATTAGTAGATTCTTTAGTAATTCCTTTCTCAGGTTTTATTCAAAATATTAATTGTTTCGAAGAGGCAAAAACACTTGATATAAATATGTTAGCCAAGGGTATTAATAATGTTTTAGATAATATTTTTAAAAAATAACTAGTCTAATTACTTTCAAAGCTAAACTCAAAATAATACAATGGAATGCTCGATCAGCTGTTGGTAACAAAAGTAGCCTACTCAACTTTTTAATAACCGAAGATATTGATATAGCTTTAATAAGTGAAACCTGGTTTAAACGGGATGTTGTTTATAGTTATAGAGGTTATAACGTAATACGCGAAGATCGGGATGACGGCTATTCCGGAGTTGCTATTTTAATTAAAACTGATATTCCCTTTGAAAACATAAAAATTAAAAAAAATTATAGTAAAGAATTGCTTGCTTGTGGTATTAAAATCAACTATAATAAAAGTCATTTAACTTTACTCTCCTTATATAGGTGTCCCAAAGCTAAAACTAACACCGAAGATTGGGATAAATTATTTCCTCAATTAAAACACCCTTGTATCATTGGAGGAGATATGAACGCATATAATTCTCTGTGGGGCTTATCTTAAAATGATTAAACAGGCCATCAAATTGTGGAGACAATTCAGAATCTAGATTATGTGGTAATGAATAATGGACAACCAACTTGCCAAACGAGACCAGGAAACACAGATTCCATGATAGATGTCACTTTTTGCTCACCTCTCTTTGATAACATTTCGTGGTCTGTAGATACTGATACTTTGGGATTAAATCACTTCGTTATAAGGGTTGTAATCGATATCTTGGGAACTAATGCGAATATCATTTATCCCAGCAGTAAGTGGAACGTTAAAAAAGCCAATTGGTCGTTATACTCTCAGTTTATTGAAACTTTATTAACTAACAACCCTCACGCCTACTCAGACACGCAAGAAAAATATAATTTTCTTATTGACTGTATTAATGAAGCTTCTAAACAATCAATCTGCCATTATAAATCATTTAAATGTAAACGTACTCCCGCTCCATGGTGGGATTTGGAATCTGATGAATCCGTTGCGGAAAGGAAGAAAGCATTAGTAAACTACAAAAAAAATCCTTCTCTTGAAAATTTTTGTAAATGCAAAGAAGTGAATGCTCGTGTCAAAAAATTCCTGGAATTAAAGGCCAAACAAAGTTGGGTTGAATGGTGTTTAAAATTAAATAAACAAACTTCCAACAAACCTGTCTTATCTGGAACCAAGCAAGGAAAATGAACAGGAAAAAAGTAAACTTTCCACTGCCTCTAAGTAACTCATGGGTAGACGACTTTTTTGATAAAATAGCTCCACCTTACGTAAATAACCAGATAGATGTAATGCCATCTGAAACTCTCTCATCTGATCAGAATCATTTTCTCTTAACACCTTTTTCAAGAACTGAATTAGAGTTTGACCTTGATAATCGCGTTAGTACCTCGCCAGGATATGATGCCGTCAAATATCCTATGATACAAAAATTGCCAGATAACGCAAAAGAATTACTTTTAAATATATTTAACCAGTTAATTATTGCGGGTAAAGGCATAATCGATTTTAAGCGTATTATAGTTGTCCCTGTTCCCAAACCGGGAAAAACCCTAAATTACCTGAAGCTTACCGACCTATATCATTATTATCATGTATATTGAAGACTCTTGAACGGATGATTAAAATTAGGTTAGACTGGTGGCTAAGGGATCAAAGTCCCTTACCCGCTAACTAACATGGCTTTAAGAAAGGTTATGGAACTTTAGATTCCTTAACAACCCTTGTAGTAGACATTCAGAATAGTTTTTCCAGGAACAGTTATGTACCTGCTTTATTTTTAGACATCGAAGGTGCTTACGACTCGGTATCTCTTACAATTCTCCAAGAAAAAATGATTAAATTTTTTCATATTCGAGCACAGTTTGCTTCTAACGTTGTGAACCTGTACATAAATAGGATAATTTATTTAAAAGCCAATCATACTCTTATAGGACCTAAACTTAATAACAAAGGATTACCTCAGGGCTCCGTTTTGAGTCCTACTTTGTTTAACATTTACACAGCAGATCTACACAACATCACTATTACAAATATTGCATTTAATATTCTACAATATGCTGACGATTTCTGTTTGTATACAGAACACAAAAAATATCAGCAATCCATTGAAAACCTGAATGAAGTGTACGGATTCCATCACAAATGGTTTATAGAATATGGTTTCGAATTATCCTGCAGTAAATCACAAGTTTGTTTATTTACCAGACATAACTTTCCTAATGCCAGTAAAATCAATTTAAGTGGGCACCAATTTTCCCTTAAAAATACAATTAAATATCTGGGCATGATACTCGACCAGAAATTGACCTGGAAGTTACATATTGATGACATGTTGAACAGATGCAATAAGGGAATCAACTTTCTTAAATCAATTAATAAAACTTGGTGGGGATCGGTTGTTGAAGTAAGTTTATTATTTTACAAAGCTTACATACGATCTATTTGAATTACGGAAATGTTTTAAATGGATCAGCAAGTAACGTACTACTAAACAAAATCAACGTTTTACAGAACTCAGCCTTACGAATATGTTTAGGAGCCATGAGATCCACTCCAGTACAAGCTTTATATTTGAAAGCATTGGAACCTCCTTTAAATATAAGACGAAGGTTTTTGTCCAAAAAATATTTAATGAAAGTATACTTACTGAACTCATCTCTATACGAAAAGATAGTCACTTTGAATTGCCATGACCTGACAAATAAATATTGGCAAACAAAGAAATCTCCCTTACTTTGCGAAGCGTATAATCAAAATATAGCACTTTTAAAAAATATACATAGAACGAACTACATATTCAAAAATTACTCTTCTTTCTTTTTACATACAGATATTATTGTACCAAATTATAGTGAAAATATATATTTAAATAAAAATATTGTTCTATCTATAACAAGCAAATACAAAAATGCAATAGCTCTATATAAAGATGCGTCTAAATCTCCAGATAGAACCGGATGAGCTTTTTTTATACCATCGGAACATATAGAAAAGAAATTCAAGCTAAACCCGGAAACTTCGATTTATACAGCAGAGGCCATTGCAATATATGAAGCTTTATTATATGTAGCTGAAGTCGATTGTGGCCATATTATAATTTTGTCGGACTCCTTGGCAGTGTTAAAATCCATTGGTAAATATGGACCACCAAACTTACAAGACTGCCCATACATTTATAGAATTAAACATATTATTCAAACTCTTTTAACCAAAGGAATCCATGTACATTGTCTCTGGATTAAAGCACATGCAGGATTTGAACATAATGAATATGTCGACTTATTAGCCAAAGAAAGCCTTTTAACCGATAGTGGCATTTTACATAAATGGCTTTCTGACAGTATTGTTTCTTGCAAGTCAACATTGGTTCGAGAGTGGAGCTACCAGTGGAAGGAATACTCTTTTGTGAACCAAAATAGATACTCGATAATTCAGCCAGATATTCCCAAATTTCCTTGGTACAAGTCTTTTAGAGCTTCCAAGAGGCACATAACTTCCATTATTAGAATACGTTTCGGACACGCATGTTATCCAAAGCACTTATTTAAAATAAAGGTTTTGGATGATAACAAATGTGAGCATTGTGGAGAGGAAAGCGATATGGATCATATATTTTTTGGTTGTCCTAAAAACAGAGTCTACTCATCCAAACTTATAAATGATTTATTAAAATATAAAACAGCAGCTCCTTGAAATATGCTACATTTATTATCACTTGGCTCTGTAGATATTTACAATTCTTTAATAAAATTTTTAAAAGACAGCAAATTATCATTATAATTCTCTAAAAATTATTTAGTTAATCTTGTTACCTTCGTTTTAAACCATTTGTATAACTTCCTCCTTTCCGTGACCTAGTGTTTTTATGTCTTATATAAATCAATGCTTTGATAGGTCCCTAGACGAGAAGAGTGTGTCCCTGTTCTACTAATATCGATGTAATCTTGATAGGGCATTTAGGTAAATAATTATAATGATGACTGTCTTAGTTCTTTTGTGTCTGACTGTATGACGATAGTCTAAGCAAAAAAAATAAACAAAAGTGTTCCTTGCATAACGTATTAGTGATAATTACCAGCAATGTAGGCTGATATACTTATTGAAGGTTTTTTAAAAAGTGAAAACATGCAGAACCTTCAATATACAACATATCATTGGTGATGGTGATTCCAGTCTCCACTAAAAAATTCGTTAAAAGGTTCCTTATTGCCGTAAAATAAGAAAAATCGAATTTGCCAATCATTTAACAAAAAATATTACTCAACATTATTATGAAATTTCTAAAGAATCAGCTAGAAAGAATCATAAAAAATTATTATCAAGCGCGCGTATAAATTTTATTTTAAAGTTTTGTAGAAAACTAATCTCCATGTATGCAAAAAAAGAAAATCATTATGTTGAAAATCTTAAGGCTAATCTTTTGAATGTGATCGATCAATCATGTCTTTGGAGATCATGAATATTGTAAACAGGAATATTGCGTAAAGTGTGGCGAAAAAAATGATAATTGCTTCAAGAAGAGTTCTACGAAAACTAGGCTCAGAATAATGCGAATTATAGGCTGCTAAATCAAGTTTTCTTATAAAAGATGCGACTAGCAACAGAGTGGAACAATTTATGCGACAAGTCGCAAAGTTTAATAACGTCAGCAATGCGACATTTTATAGTCGTAGAAATAGTTTTAATATAAGATGTCAAGCTGCTGGTTTGGCTTATCAATTTGGTCCTAGTTGGTTACTAGATGTTTATAGAAAAAACACCACCTTCAAATATTTTAAAACGTTTAGTAAATAAGACAATAAGAAAAAAAAACAAACGCGAAAATTAGGTTGGCCCAGACGAATGTTACTCCATAATGATAATACTCAACAAGGTGTTACAAATTATGGATTACACTGTCAAAAACTCGACCTGCCAGAGAATGAAATACGCGAATTAATTGAGCAACAAACTTTGGAAGTAACACCAGAAATTGGTAAATATATAAAGCAATCCGCTAGGGGCCAAAGTGATAATCCAAACTGGTTTGAGGAAAGAAAGTCTCGTCTTACATCTTCTACTTTCGGTGAGATAAGCTAGAGAAAAATTAACTTTGGAAAGCTAATTCAATCCCTTCTTTATAAACCTTTACCGCTATTAACACAGTTGGAGTATGGAAAACTGAATGAAAGTGTAGCTATTGAAGCATATGTTTTCAAAACAAAAAATATAGTAAATCAGTGCAGATTGTTTGTGTGTTTGGAAACAGAATATGGATTTTTAGGATCTTTCCCTGACGGGTTAGTAGGTGACAATAAGATTTTAGAAGTTAAGTGTCCATATTTAGCCCAAGAATATACACTACTAGAGGCAGCCAAATCCATAAAAATGTTTTGTAGCGTGTTAAGTGATGATGGCAAATCAATGTCCCTAAAGAAAAACCATAACTACTATTATCAAATCAGCTCAGGGGAGCTCTACATTTGCCAAAGGAACATATACAATTTTGTTATCTGGACTCTTAAAGGTATTTATATTAAGAGCATAAAATATGATGAAGATTTCGGAAAACTAATGTTAAAAAAACTAGAAAATTTTTATTACAACCATTACGAGGTCGAACTTGTTGATAGTCGACATGCACCTAATACGCAGATCAGACATTACCTACTCTAGCAGATAACTTAAAATCATACATTAACGCCCTTCTGCTCCAAGTGTACCCAAACTTCGTTAAAAATAATGTTTTATTAAAACAATGCCAGGATTTAGCATCAAAAATAACAACACTGTTGGTGCGAAGCTTAGTCATATGTTGCATATGGATGATTTAAAATTAATGGCTTCCACTCGAAACCAACTAGATCAGGTGCTAAAAACTGTAGAAAATTTCTCAAATGATATCAGTATGCATTTTGGACTAGACAAGTGCCGTATACTAAATATAGTCAGAGGAAAGGTTCAGCCCGGAGGTTTTGATACGCAAGATGGCCAAAACATCGAGGCAGTGGGTGAAAATGATGTGTACAAATATCTTGGAGTAAAACAAGCGCGGAAAATTGACCACAAACAAATGAAAACTGAACTAACTTCGGAGTTCGTTCGAAGAGTAAGACAACTAAATCGATCAAACCTTAATAGTAAAAATTTGTTTAAGGCATTAAATACGTCTGCCTGTTCCGCGCTGAGCTACTCATTTAGTATTATAAAGTATTCAAAAACAGATATAGAGGGTATTCAGCGAAAAATAAGAACACTTCTCACAAAGGTGCAAAAACATCATCCACGTAGAGTAGAGGTACAACATTACCGCGGTATCAAGGGGGAAGAGGACTTACGGATATAGGTGAACAATTGGATAAACAAATTGCTAATTTAAGAACTTATTTTCAGGTACAGGCTGAGACATTTTACTACTACTTTACATCGAGCAATTTGCGCAGTAGATGATACGACGCCGCTTAAGTTAAGGCAATAAGAAATGCGCATAAACCACCTGACTCAGCAAGAAAAAATGCCCACCTGGATGAGTAAACCTCTGCATGGATGACATCTCAATGAGATCAGCCAAGAATATGTCGACTACTATACAGCGTCGAACTGTTGGTTGACATCAGAAAAGGTGTTTCCCGAGACTGAGGGTTTCCTACTTGCCATTTAGGATCAGGTTATTCCAACTAAAAATTACCTGAAATAAAGATCCTCAAGTCCAAAATGACAAATGCTGATATGGATGCCAAGCCCACGAAATCATCCAACATCTTACCGGTGGCTGCCAGGCATTTGTCGGTACTGATTATAAAGAACGTCATGACTCAGTAGGAAAGATTATCCACCAAGAACTACCTGACAAACTGGGACTTCTCCAAACCGACTATCTTCCTTATTATCAATACGTCCCTGACAGAATACTTGAAAATGACAAATACAAGCTATACTGGGACCACACTGTGCTTACAGACCAACCAGTGGCGCTAGACAAACAACACTTATTGATGTGACGATACCCCAACACCAATAATTTAAGTGTTAAATACAACGAAAATATCGCCAAGTACAGAGATCTAGAAATACAAATCAGGAGACAATGGAGAATGGAAAGTACCCAGACAGTATCTATTGTTCTATCTACTACTGGTGTTATTCCCAAAAACCTCCTAGAGAACATGAAACAGCTGAGTTTAAATGAACATCTCTATAAGGCCATATGGAAAGCTATACTCCTCACGAGGTCCAGATGTGTATGAAAATTTTTGGGCGATACTCTAACATACCAAGTCACCTAGTACTCGATAACACGGAAAGAGTCCCACCAGAGCTCAATCCTTTGAATACCGTAAGTATCTGGGATGGGTGAATTTTTCCCTTAGAGGGAGTGTGAGCAGTATGTGTAAATCTGGATAATAATACTCGTGTTACTCGTGTTATTCCCAAAAATCTTCTAGCGAACATAAACCAGATGGGTCTAAATGAACATCTTTATAAGGCCATACATAAAACTGTACTACTCGCGACGTCCAAATGTGTACGAAAATTTTTGGGAGATACTCCAGCATACCAAGTCACCTTGTAACAAAAGTGAATTGGCTGGGGCGCCAATATAACAAGAATGAATTGTTTCTAATGAAACAATGTGATAAGAAGGGTGAGAGTAGGGAAATGTAACAAAAATCTACAGTGTAGCAATAGGGTAAACTCTAAAATGTACCTTGATACACCAACGGATTAATATCTGGAATAACAGAAGATGGAAGGGATTAGATAGAAATAAATTATATAAAAGAAATAAATAACGTGTAAATATGAATATTTAAATATAACAAAAATAATGTTGGCTAGCGACTATGCAGGAGAATGACCACTTGACACTCAAGAGGGATTAGGCCAATTTGCATGCCCTACAGTGACCGTAAGATATAAGAACTAATGACAAGAAATCTACCAAGAAATAAACAGATGAAAGATAAAGTTGCTCTACTGAATGTTTGGGCGCCAGGAAGTTAAATGGTTTCTTCCGAGATATCTTGTATTGCTGAAATATTAAAGGATAGGTACCAAGTGAAATCTTAAATTGTTTTAACCCAACTTTAATAAATACCTATTTTATGTACAAATTATTTTAAACCCTTATATATAACAATATAACCCAACACCTCTTATATACAATTAACTTATCTATATTTACAATGAAAACCCTGAATATAATGTTAAAACAATTTCCCCTCTAATGTACCTGATAATGTGAAATTTTGACTAAGGTTATGCAATAGTTAAGTATATAATATAAAATGAAATATATAATAATATAAACGTTACAATTATCAAATAAATGAAATAAACCTCTCCGGATATGTGTGCACACTATAACCTGATAACGAGAGATTCCAGGGGAGTTACAATCTCAACCCTTGGTGGACAATAAATGTTTTACTAAATTTACAATGACTATTATTTTAGAAAAAATGAATGTAATTATTATTAAGGATATATTTTGAAAAAAAAATTGAAAGTGAAACAAAAGTTAAACCTTGAAGAGGGCGTTAAAAGTTGCTACAAATATTTAAATAGAAAAAAATTAGTTCTTCCTGTTAGTTTCTGCAGGTTTCCCTCGAAATCCTCTGGGAGAACTAGTCGCAGGTGAGTGATACGCCAAACCTGGACACCATATAAAAAAAGGAGGTACTTTTAAATTAAGTCCTTGAAATTCTTCTTAACCCATTAAATAAAAATTACTTCTTGTATTCCAATTCCCAAAAATTAAATAAAAAGTTTTTTCTTCCCAGACCTGCACTGGATTCCGGACGTTGGCTAAAAAAACACAGTTGTGTTACTACAAATCCTTTGTTCATACAAGAAAGTAAAAAAGAACCAAGAAAGGTCAAAGTTGCTTTTAAATTGACGCAAAAACTATGGTTTCTGAAAAAAAAAATAACCTTGGAATTTAGATTTGACAATGTTTTAACGGATATATTAAATAGATGATTTTTATGGAAGCTATATAGATCATACAATGGGACAAAAAACAAGGAAATATTAGCCGGTTTAAACGGTATGGAATTGAAATAGATAATTGTTGGCTTTCATCCTCGTAAAGAAATAAAATTTGATGTTATTATAAAAATTTATTACTGTAATCTGTTTAGGTATTTATGAAATGAATGAAATAGTACATAGAAGATAGCAGATAGATAGATAGGTGGATCAGACTATATTTTGCGAGAGGATTATAAATAGATTTAAATTTCACCAACAATGGCGGATGATATGACGTGTTTTTACATATAATTTATTTGTAATTTAACTCACCGACTTAGAGTGATCCCAACTTAATGTATTTTCACCAAAAACAAAACAAAATAAAATAACCAACTGTTTTTCTTCCACCAAAATAACAGCTTCTTCGAAATAAAATAAAACTTAAACCAAACTCTGAAACGTGGCACTCTCAGTCGCCTTGAACACGTCTGTTCAATTCACGGACTTCCAAGCAAGTGCCGGTCTGATGGCGCTGCAGCTGTTACGACGATCAGAGCCGTAGGCAGAGGGCGTGATTTATTGCCAACTTTTAAAAATAAAATTTACCGAAGTTATTCAAATGTTTGGTTTAAGAATATTTCAAAATGAATTTAATTTGTAATTAAATTAAAGGATTCCAGTGACAAAGCAGTAAATGGGTATTTAAGTAACGGACTCGTTACAACCTAGGGCTCGATAACACGGTCAGAGTCCCACCAGAGCTCACTCCTTTGAATTGCTGTAACAGCTTTAAAATTCCCTCAAAAAGCTAAACATTTAGATATTAATGATTTAGACAGAGAAGATTATTAAAAAATATGACTTTTAATTTTGAAGATGAATTTATGGCATTTTGGACTACAATTTTTTCTTTTTCTAAAAAATAACGAAAATAATGAATATTTTCGGACTTTGTGAAATATATTCTTTATCTTCAAAAATCCCTCCTTTGAAGAAACCCAACAAGCCTTAAATAAGATAACTGACGAGATACTAGCAGAACTTCTGAAATATTGGGGAGACGCACTACATCGCCAAATCCACCAGCTAATAACGCACATATGGTTAGAAGAAAGGATACTAGC